TCAATCTCTCCCTCCACCCTGTGACATTAGATTTTAAAACTGTCATCTTATCCCATCCTATTGTATGGTTGTGTGTAATTGCATGTAGTGCTATAGCTGAACTATTCTCTAGATTTCTTATCTTATTCGGGTCAACCAATCTAGATTTTGTTAAGTTTTTATGTTCAGCTAGTCTCACTGACTGCCCCTGTTCTACTACTTTGACCTATGTATTTGACCTGACAATCATTGCAGGCAGAGTATTAGATAAACTAAACTGTTTTGTTTTAAAGGCTTCACAGGATCCTTTAACCGACAAAGCTTGTTTCTAACTGAACACTGAACCACTGACGGACTTGTATAAACCATCAGCCTATGTATGTTCTTTCCTCTTACACTGACTAATTATCATACTACTCTTATAATTGTCTTCCAGTCCCTCATGAATTATCGTTTACTCAGCGCAAAACTCAAACCGGTAACTTCCAACTGAATTTTAACTGTCAATTAAAAATGCTACAGCACTAAAATTACCTCATATCCATCAACACTTTATACCAAAACGTATTTTTATTCGATCTGTTAAGCCTACAACTCACGACAGTGTGTAGGATTCAGATGTTTTTATAACTGCAGTTATTTTTATTAAATTGAATGTGAATTTCGGCAGCAGAGTATCACAGAAAATCGAAGAGAACAGGATACCTGTTTCGTACTAGTTTATTGCTCTTCATTAGTATCCACGAATGATTATACGAGACATTAAACAAAGTACTTTCAAATCAGGAAATTAGACCATCGATCATTCATCTGCCGGTTCGAAATCTAATAGCAGTCTTAGTCCCCTAGCGGTTTATTCTTCTAATTAGCATTACCTAGCAGATTGAGTTCCATGTGTACAAATACTAATCAAAATTCGAAGTATCTGAGCTGACACATCAACACTTTAAAAACTAAGAGTTTTATGAGACTGAGATGGTTAATTTATATTTCTCTTTACTCACCTCTGTTAAGACCAGACAGTGTTTAAATGTAACTTCTAAACGGGGTGATTGATAGGGTATAAACTTTACTTCACCTTCCAAGTTATGCAGCTGGTTCCAATGAGTATAGCTCATCACCGAACATATATGCTTACATGTGACTGATATTATCATTTTTGCTCCCTTGTGTTCTGACAGTAACACTGTGCTTCAACAGCACATCTCCACTTTACCCTATTCTTTGCGGTCCTCTTCAGCTGGCCCCACGATTTCCCATAGTCTCTTATCTCTTCCTTACATGAGCTCCTACATGTCACCTTTAGACACATGCCTAACTTGTCTTTTTCCTTCCGAGTTCCACTCAAGCGATGGCCTTACTCTCGATGTTTCGACACCCTTATCTGTGTCAACTGCCTGTAGTTGACACGATGCCGTCTAGACGAGTGAAGGAAGTAACCTCTTTCAAACTTCTCCAGCTGACAGTGATTGATGCTTGTTGTTTTTGTTGTTGGTTGGTTGGTTGCTTATCTTCATCACCTCTGTATTCTCCATGTTCGTTTGAAGTTCTGACCACATTGTCTACCTCTCCTACCAACTTGTAAGTTTTCATCCGTAACTCTTCGAATCTCTGGGACATTAGGCATAAATCATCTGCAAAATCCAGCTCTTCAGCAGTCTTCTTATCTGTCCAACGTATCCCTTTCTTCTTGTTCTTATGCTCAGTCGGATGCATAATCCAGTCCACCACAATTAGGAATATCATCAGTGATAATAGGCAGCCAGCCTTGTCTTTCTCCTTTCATCACTTCATCAAATGCTTTGCTAAGTTTTCCATTGTGGATCACCTGACACGTGCCATTGTAATGTACCTGCTGAATGAAGATGGTAAAGATTTGCGATATGACCGATTATTTACATTTATTCCATTACGTGCCAACAAATATACAGAAAAATCAACAGACATATAAGGAAACGAGTTCCATCATATTCCAAGAAACCTGTGCCTGAAAGGAAGCAAATATTCTCAGAGTGCAATTACCAGATATATTGTTGATACCGGACATCTCGTAGAGATTTCTAAGTCCTTCAAAATATTAAATAGTTAAAGGACAACACATTTACTACGAAGCAATCGCAATCAAACGATTCAAACCAGACTCATGCATACAGAAAGTGAGTGTGATTAACCTCTCACTACCTTGTTAACTGAATTTTGATTTTGATTACATTATTAAGTCATCTAATTCAGTGATCTCAACTCACTGGGCAAATCTCAATCTTATAAATTGTAACCGCTTTTGTTTTTGAGTTGCTATGTGAATCTACAAGCTAACACTGTTTTGTTAATTTTTTCTGTTTTCTGTCTTACCCCTCCCCTCCCTCTTTTCTACTTTGAAAGAGTATAAATTGATGATGAAAACTTAAACTAAAAATTGTAATGCTTACATTTTGGATGCGTCAGCTTTATAGTATTTCTTCTGTACTACCACTCAAACATTAAAGCATGCTATTATCATCTATATAACCATTGTAATTTCAGGTAGTCTGTGGCTGATGAGAACCTGTGAAATAGAGTGATATCATTCTATACTGGAAATTCCGTCTTCCTTTCTTTATCAAAATCCATCAGTATAATTTATCGCACTTCACTTGAAGAAACGTCGTCAAATTGTAGATTTAATCAGAGGATGTGAAGTTAAATGAAAAACGAGCATACAAAAAAGACGAAACACTCTGGAAATAATAAAAAAATCAATACACCTATGACATAATGTTTGACTTAGTGTAATTTCATTGATGTTCTCAGGTCACTGACTTTAGAATTGCCTTATCTGCAGGATTTAGTACTTCAGTGGTTCGATGGTAGGATGCCGGCCAACCAAAACAGTGATCTGGGTTTGATTTACTGACGACGCACTTATAATACTCCCTTCGTTTATCTCTGGCAAATAATACGCTAAGGTTATTATCCCCGTCATTTAAAACAAACGCTATCACACCTGAAAGCTGAGTGCTTGAAGCCCAATGTTCCAATCAGTTAGCAAGGGAATGAGAAAAAACTTGGACGACTTAAGTAAAGAATCTGACGATTTAAGATAAGCCATCATCAAGTCTTTCTACGACATCACTACTTTCGCTGATGTTGTTTGTTCACACTAATTGAGGGATTAATTCATTTAGAAATCCTGAATAGTTCAGCTATAGCACTACATGTAGTCACACAGAACCATACAATGGGATGGAATAGGACAACAGTTTTCAAATCTGATGTCACAGGGTGGGGGGAGAGATTGATAACAGAAGCTTTTTTTATCGAATCAACTGCAAACATATGTAATAGGAAGGATTTAACACCTGTTCAGGTGGCTGTTAATTCTTTTAACGCATCACTGAATTAATGCATTTTCAAGGTCATTCTAACTGTATATCTACAGAGTTTCCGTCTAGCATTTTGACTGTTATTTGAGACAGCGAGAGATCTCTTATCGACGTCCAGTCATTTCGTTTGTCTTTGTATGCCGGCGGTGTTATTGTTGTTGGTGCTGACGAGCGGTTAAGACAGATTAGCCAGTGCATTAAGTTAGTATTCGCTCATAGTCTATTATGTCGTAGTTCCAGTCATAAAACAGTCACCACTGGTATTACTAGTCCAGTACTCTCTAAGCTTGATTAGTTACTACTAATAATTATTATAACTTTATTCTGGACTGTGTCTACCAAATGTGCAAATTTGCAGATTGCGTTACACAATACCGTCTTATTTGAAGCCCAAACTGATCCCTTATGATATACTTCTTCTTTGCCTCCTTCAGGAAATGCACAGCATCTGGATGAAAGCCAATTAAATAAAAAAGAAGTGTATGAGTACATTTTGCAGCTCAAAGACATAGCTGAATGACCAATGACCGCAGATAGTTAGTTCTATTTCCTAGGAAGTGGCAGTTCTTACTAAAAATGTCAGGAACAGTCATGTCAGATACACTGGGATACGTTGCCGCCCATAATTATGCCTTCCCTCAAGTTTCGTAGAAACTTGCACATCAACAGGCTTTGATTGGACACTAGTAACTAGTGTGATGTGTCTAGTGCTTTCTTTGGTGCAGACTGAATTCTATCAGTCAGGTTTGCAATGTAGCCACCACGCTAGGTTGCTCGCCATTACGGTATACTCAGGATTGTTGTTATTGGATGGTTGGAGGCAATTGGCAGGAAGCCCAGCCTAACCTAGGTTTCTTGCTAGCTGGCACTCACCAGTCAGCAAGTCCTATCTGCAATCACGAAGTAACTCATGTCCCTTCTGAGATTCAAACCTGTGTCACCCAGTGCTGCATTCAGAGTCGTTACCACTGAGCTAAACACATGACACTAGTTAGTTTCCAGTCAAAAGTATCGAATACAGTTCTACAGTAGGTCAATCGCGAACCCGAATAGCTCAGTGTTAACCTCTTTGACTGCAGTACTTGGTGACACGGGTTCGAATCTCAGAAGTGACATGAGTTCCTTCAAGATTGCAGATACGCCTTGCTGACTGGTGAGTGCCAACTAGCACGAAACCTAGGTCAGCTAGCTGGGCTTCCTACCTATTGCCTGCAACCATCTAATACCAACAAGGTTGTTAATATTTTAAACACTCGCCCGAAGTCCTACTTTTCTAGGTTAAATCAATGTGAACATGAGAAAATAAGATACAATAAAACGACGATGGTGTGTTTTGGTACCCCGAGCTTCAAGCAGTCCACCGTTGATCAAAATAAATGTTTATTTACATAAGTCAATGAAATACAAGTGTTATAGAATAACAAGACTAAAAACAGTTTTACTAAACATACGAAAAAAGGACAACGAACAACTGTGCGTTTATTTTATTACTCAGATATGACTAGTTCAATGTGATAACGTTGTTATAAAAAGGGGAGAAAATTATATGCATATTCCAAATTCAGCATTCACTACACGATTACAGAAAAGAAACTTCATTATTTACACTTTAAGTGAATAAAACAAAAGGAAACCGTTAAAATGAACACGGGAGAAAAGTTCATTGACAAGAAATTTATTTGATTGGTGTCAAATCTTGGTTGGGATAAGCAAATATGAATGAATTGTGTAGTAGAACGTATACACACAAGTACACGCACACGCACATGCAGTTATACTACACCCAACTGTCAGGTGTATTTTGATCCAATGTGTTTGAATAATTATTTCCCATTTCATTAATCCGTTGAAATAAACGTCGTTGTTCCATCAACTTGTCCAAATCTGAACGATATCTCCAATCATCCTAATAATAAGTAGTATATCGGAAAGAAAGAAATAGATTGAAAATAAAATTCTTTCTGCATAAAATAAATAACACTGTGTAAAAAAACAATTTACATGGATTCAGTGATCATCTTCTCTTGTCTTAGTTTCAAATGATCTTTAATGTTTGAAGAATAGAAAATCGGATAAGATTGCGAGGTTATAGGTTGGGTGGCTTATCAAAACTGAAAACAGTCTACTTCAGGTATTTAGAAGACAAATAATATTAGGGAAATGCATCACTTCATAGTTTCTTCATGATTGTTTTGCAACTAGCAGGTTTGAAAATAATAAATATACTAGATAGTAGAGAAATAGAGAAATAACCAGTCATGTTGTAATACCAAATGTTGGATTGTAGGGATTTGATTTATTTCAAGTGTGATATCAGTTAGAGAGCCACTGAAAACCATTGTAGATTACTAGACAGTTGTTTCGCCCCAGTTTGGGACTCTTCAACAGTACGCACCCACCACCATGGTTTGAACCCGGGACCTTCCGATGACAAGGCAAGCTCATAGACAATTTAATCATTGAGACCCAACTCAGAGGTCAATGAATTCCAACTTCTACCAATTTTCAATAGGTCAGGTAGTTCAGGGTAAGCAGGAATTGAAATCTGACCCTTTAATTGCTCAAAGACTTCAATCAGCCATCAAGTCTACATTTTACACTACATCCGTCTTCCTAATCTATCGAACATTTTCTCTTCCTATTTCCTCGTTTAAAGAATGAAACTCTACGAATTCTTTTCACATTGGAAAATTCATTCGTAGTTGCAGGGACACGTATGGAGGTGGAATAAATAGAATGTTTCAATGTCGTTAGGATGAACATAATTCCTCTAAGTGGTTATTAAGTCCAAATGCATTTAATCTGGTTGGTAGTTCAACATTATCTACAGTAAAGCATCTTTTATTGTATAGTCACAAAATCAATATCAAAGACAGTTTCTTAACTATCTTATATGGTTTTAGTCTAATGTTATTCAAGATGATAGAAGCATTTCAAAACTAAGCGTATGTATAAAACAATAGATTTCAACCCCTGCTAACTCTAGACAGCTTTAAATATTAAAATATGGTTGACTATTAATACGTCTTATGACTTCATATGATTAACTGATCGTCAAATATTTTTATTATTGATGGTTAGACAATATGAGATAGACTTAGGTATCGGTTGACTGTTATTGATGTAATGATTGATTATTGAGGGTAAAGAGACAATCCACATCGAACCAAAGGTCATGGAATCACTTGTGCTGCTTTTTACCACCTGATCTACAAGACCCAACTATCGTTTCATTGCAATTATCAGGGGTAAGGCTAAGCTGTCATAGGAACCATGACACGCTAATGTCCGTTCATCAACATACTATCTGCCCAGTTGGCTCCTACTCAGCATACTGAATTAGAAAGAAGAGGAACAATTTGTTAATTGATGGTTAGATTATCTGAAATGGCCTTTCGGTTGACAGACAGCTGTGACCCTGATTTTTATTTCCCATTCATTCACCATTTATAAGATTTTTTATTTTTATGTTATTTGTAACGAGAATTTGAAAAAATTTAAGCAACAACTTAATTTTAGGAATGTATAAGTATTATTTCAATTCCCTTCACCAAAATAAACAAATCTGACTGTCAGCATGTCTAAGGGGCTGAAAAGTCAAAGAACTTGTCTAGTAACTTGAAGATTTTAGGTTCGGTCCCCGGTGGGGTCACTGTTGTGTACTGCTGAAGGATTCCTAACCAAGACGAAATATCTGTTCAGTGCGCCGTGTTTTCATCGATGACCCAATAATAGAATGTTCATCACCAACACAGGATATCTAGGTTACGTTCCCCACCAATGAACACTCAAACTCTGCCTAACCTATAGTAAGCCAAGAAAAGAGGGTTAGTTTGACGTGAAGCTAGAAACCTTCTCTCGTAAAAACATCGCTACTGCTAAAACTGCTTAGCACAACCCCGAAGAATGATTATCCATTTGGAATGCAAGCGGATGATAAAGAGAAACGAACAATCCAAGTGATAGCATCGTAATCCACGTTTGATGTTTCAAACCAAAGACACTAGCCAGTCAGTTCACAAAAGAAACCTTTGCTTTGTGGGATGTCTAATGAAAGTCATACTCTACATTACACATAAAATATAAACATTATTCAGGTGGTGAGTGAAATAAAACTAGGCAAGTAAACTGAATGGTGGGATTTAACAATATATCTCTTGTCTTTTGCTAAGTAGTTTATGTTCTTGGATTTGGAGTCGAACGGGACACGTACTTTCACCGATATAGTTTTTATCACAACTCATTCAAGAAGATAACAGTGATCTTGACTTCTTCTACTGCTGAGTCTCTTGGTCTCCATAGTAATTGGTGAAACAGATGTATAAGTCCATGTTCGATGTCTACTTCGTATGGTCTCATTATTCTAGCCGAGTTTTTCGGAAACATTCCTTACATATGTGGTGTGATGAATTTTCATTGTGATTTCAGAGGATGGTTTCTTGCCGGAAGTTTGATTCGAGTGAGGACATTTTTTGATGAAATTATTCCTAAACTGTATAAACTCCAGGTTTAGACAAGTTAATTCCTCGAAAATTATACTATTTCCTGTAGCCTAATGAGTATAAATATGATACTGTAAATCGATTTTGAGTATTGATGTCAAGACAAATTCTATTGACAGACACTAACTAACTCACTATTTGTGACGTTTTTAATGTTCTGTGGTCTTCGTTATCTGGTCAAGGATAGCTGGTAAAAGAAGTGAGATGTAGTTGTTAGTTGCTAGAAAATGTACGCTTTCTTTTCCCTGTTCTAGTCTAATAGTAAAATCCCTAAATATTAGGTCTCACTTTGGAAGTTCGAGTTCGTTCTGAAGACATCATCAAGCTTGATGATGGAACGTCCGCAAACAAATGTAAAAGATTAGAGAACATAAGATAATTTTGATTCACTTTGTGAGCAAAACACCTCACTAGTCATTCATCAATGAATGCTCTGTGTACATAACCTTCCGTGAACTACAATACATCAAATAAGCGTGTATAATCACAGGTTTGATGACGAGTCGATATTAGCTACAGAACCATTGAAAACCAGCAGAGAGTACTCGACAGCTCTTCGTCCCAATCCAATGACCTGTGAACTCCTGTCAATTCGCGAAATATTTATCAAAGTCACTAGTCAGTATCATAGGCCAGTAACTGATCTCTTGTTACCCCACTTGGTGAAACCAGCAGGCTAGAACTTCACATCAGAACTCCAGGTATCTTCCTGTATGCAGCCAGACACTACATAAGTATATATATGCGAATTGGCAAAAGCTGAAATTCATGGATCATTAAATTAGGGTCCCAGTGGCTGAATGAACTACGAGCTCACCCCGTGACCGGTAGGTCCCGTGTTCGAACCCCATTGGATAAGGTCTGATAAGGAGCTCCAAAATAGGACAGAAGGCTGTCGAGTACTCTCTGCTACTTTGCAGTAGGTCCTCTAGCTCATGTCCACTTGTAATCAAGCCTGTAACTGGTCAAAATCCGTGAAAACTGACAGTTGGCATATTGTAATTAATTTCATCACAAAATTATTCCTTGTGAACTTACCTCGAACATACTTTGACGATCTTTACCGCCTTCATTTATTCCACTTTCGGGTAAATAAACACCATATGGTTTCTCCTGCCTGTAGAAATTCATTTCATCTGTATTATGTGATTCATGTACAAATGATTGAGCCGGGATATAATAAGATGATGATGATGGTTGACCGTGTAGACTGTATAATGATTCACTGAGATCATCACATCGGCTGGCAAAATCATCTGATATCACTTCATTAGACTTTATTTTATTTGAAAACATAAATCTTTCTTTGCTGTTGTCATTATATTCGGTTGATTTTTCATTTGTATACTGTCTGTAAGTGGAGTTCACTCTTCGTCTTGGTATTTCCGTCCGTTTTGATCGACGCCTAACAAGACTTGCCAGACGACTACGTTTGTGAATACAAAAATCTGCTTCTGTCCATCCAGCCTACAAAATACAAAAAGTGAGGAATAATGACTAATGAATAAAAGAGTTTGATGGTGAAATCAGCTAGTTTATCCCGAGTTTGATTATGTCAGAATACAAAATAATCGAGCAAAGAATATTCTTTTCGATAAATTCCTCTTCCAGGCTCTACAATTATATATATGTTTATATACACAGAATATTTTAAATTAGTAGTTAATAACAATATTAGCGTTTAAAAAAAATAATATCGATTTGCAAAGTATGACCAATGCTATTGCAGTTCATTAAAGATGGTTAAATTATAATAATAACAAAAATAATAATGAAGATATAATAGCGAATAGAATATCAATTAAAATTAGGGAAATTTCACAAAAATTTTGGATTATTCAAACCTGAATGGTCAAGGTAATTATAATGACTGAACTAACTTCTTTTGGGTGCATAAATTAGGCTTATTAATATGAATCCTCACAGCCTCAGCAATATTTAGAAGTCGAACTCTTAAAGCGAAATTGAGATTCGTAGGTATGCGATGAATGACTCTGAAAGCATGATTAACGTCAATCTTGTGTTCTGTCTCCACAAGATGCGAATAGATTTTGTTTGACCTTTGCTTAACTAGGCAGGGTGATGTTCGGAAATTCGACGAGAAACACACCTAATTGTACGGCCTATGTAACTAGCTCCACAGGAGCAGTTAAATTGGTATATACACATGGAAGAGGCGAAATTAGGCAGTTTGTCTTTTATTCCCGAACGCAGAAGAGGAGTGGTTTTAAAGATACAGCGTAATTGAGCAGCAGGGAATGCTCTTTTTACCGCATTTCTTAGGTGATATGTTAGTATCTCACTAGTGTTGTCTCCTAGGAACTGCATCTGTATGAACAAGGCCTTTTTTGGAACTGTTGGTAACTTGGGCTGTTTTGGTTTTAGATTCATATTCTTATCAATAAACTTTTCGGGATAACCACTCTCACTTAGCGACCGTTTAATATTGTTAAGTTCCTCGTCAAGACATTCATCCGAGCAAATCTCTCTTGCTCTGTGGACCAAGCACTTTATTAGATTGCGTTTGTATTTCAAGGGCACAAAGCTGAGAAAATGTGTGTACTGGCCCGTTGATGCAGGTTTTCGATAAACACTTCTTCTTATTGTGCCATCCTCTTTTCTGGTCATAAGGACGTCTAGAAATGAAATACTAGAGTCTTTTTCTTTCTCAATAGTAAAATTTATTGCAGGATGTACCTCATTAAATTTGTCCAGGATGTTCTTTGCCTCCTTTTCGTTCTTCATAATCAAAAAAGTATCATCCGTGTATCGACAATAAAATTCGAGTTCATTAATAACATCTTTCAAAGGCCCATTTTCTAGTTTCGCCAGGAAAATGTCGGCTAGAATGGGTCCTAGTGGCGACCCCATTGCCACACCGTCGATTTGTCTATACAGTTCCTTATGTCAGAATAAATGAAGTCTTCAGATACAGTCTACTACATTCATCACGTTTAGATAATAACAATAGTAGAGAGGTGGAAGTGGAGCAATAAGAAGTACGATCATTGAACATCTGGTTGATAATGATCACCTTATCTCTATAGCCTCTGCCTTTAAATTCATATACAAGGCAAAACGTAATTTCGCGAAATCACTACGTACCCGACTCATCTATATTCCTAAAGCTTTGGCTATCGAAACAGAAAAGCCAGATCTCTGTGTACAGAAAAAATTCGTTCAACTCATGCAACTTTCATGGTCTTAATCCCTCTATGCTAAAGTATGGCAATCCCTAATCATATTGTGGCTCTACCAATTTTTCTTTTTACATTTTGTCTATTCATTTTGGATACTCTTCCTTCATTACGTCAATTTTTACTATTAGTATTCTCACTTTGAACTGTCCCCGGTATTATTTCACTTGTTCCACTTGTCATTCTAAATCAATTCTCTTTTCTAACGTTAAATTCTATGCTATCAAATTTCACACAATATTACGTAACGTTTTTATTTTATTCGATTTGTCTACTAATCCTATAATTGCACACCCTTTCTAAGTTCTATCCATCCTATGAATTGTTCTATAAGTGACATTAATTGTTTTGCCACTAGACATTTAACTATGATTATTATTACAACGGGAGAGATTTGAAAGAGGTTACTTCATTCGCTTATCTAGGGAGCATTGTCTCAACTACAGGAGGAACAGACGAGGATGTCAAATCAAGCGAGAATCGGGAAGGCGAGAAACACATTCATCAACCTGAAACCAATCTGGAAATCTCCGTCACTCAACACCAACAGCAAAATTCGGATTTTCAATACAAACGTCAAGTCAGTCAGTTCTTCTATACGGATCAGAAACTTGGCGAATCACAAGGAATATTTCCAACAGCCTGTTGCAGACCTTTATCAACAACAACTGTCTTCGCTCTATACTGAAGATCAGATAGCCGGAAAGAATCACCAACAAGAAGCTATGGGAACAAACAAAACAAGAACAAAGCAGTCGCCCAACAAATATGTAGGAGAAAGTGGAGATGGATTGGACACTTGCTGAGGAGGCCAGTGGGTGACATCCCGCGTCAGGCCAGTGCTCGAGTGGAACCCGAAAGGGAAGCGGCGAGTGGGACGTCTGAGGGTGACATGGAGGAGATCGTGTGATGAGGAACTGAAGCAGTATGGATTAACATGGATGCAAGTGAAAAGTACAGCAGAAGACAGAAGCAAACGGAGGCGTGCAGCTGATGCCCTATGTTCCACTAGGAACCCAAGGGAACAATAATAATAATATAATAATCACTACAAACATTTTAATTTCATTTCATACTGTTATTATTACTATTATTTTATGCATTCACGCCTATGATTCAATTCCCTCACCGGATATAACTCTTTTAAAACTATATATATACGATTGTACAGCTTGATGATAAATCAGTTGAAAAGAGTCTCTTCGCTGAATCACTTGTTTTGATTTTCTATATGTTACAATGGGAAATTTCAATAAGAACAGTAGAATCACCCATATCTTGACAGAAATATAGTAGAACTGGAAGAGAATTGAACAAGACTTCCAACTAATTGTTTAGTGGTGGTCGGACTCACGTTTCATCCCATTTTGGTCTAAATCTGTGCTCGTAACTCTCCCCCAGCTAGTAATGGTGTTCCCACTGAGGACTCAACCTAGGAATCGTCTTTGAAGGTAGAATGTCACTCACAAGGCTACTGAATTGTTGAAATTGTTCTTTCCTACATATGTCTTTTCGTTGGTACTTCTGTAAGTAAACAGTCATAGCAAGAAGAAGCTCAAGAAGCTCATACGTAAATATGAGGCTTATTTACTACTTGGCGTTGAATGAACACAAAACAGTGTCGTATTAGACCTTCAAAACTGATGTCTAAGTGAATTCAGTTAGAGAACCACTAGAAAACCCTGCAGTATTGGGCAGTTATTTCCTCCTACTTTGGGACTCTTTAGCATTTCACACCCACCAGGATTCGAACTCAGGACCTTCAGGTTAAAAAGTTAGCGCATAGGTGTGTATTTGTCTCCACACTTCATTTCTTGGACCTCATTAATCACAAATCCTCACTAGAATTTCAGGTGACTTCATCATAATTTAGGGAACCACTGGAAACCAGGTGGTAAAAAATATTATCCGTGATTGGATGAAGTTAGAATTCATGGGGCAGACCACTGGATCTTGTCACAATGAATACTGAATATTCAACGAGCTCTCCTTGTAACTTGAATGGCCTAGATTATATCTGTCGTTGGGTCACAGACGAGTATTGCTGCGGGGTCCCAAAGTTGAAAGAAACAGCTCTCAAGTACTCTTTGGTTTTAATAGATCTCTCATTCATTGGTCTTCATATCTATGGAATTTTTGCAAACCGACATTTGAAAATCAAATTTCCAGTTGATATCAAAAATAAGATGAAGGCAGTTATTCACTTCAGCGATCTGTCTAAAGAAGATTTATTCAGGAAAAGAATTTATTTATTTATTTAAGTAAGTGAATCTCTTAACAAACTGAAGGAATGCTGACCCAACAAAAAATCACTCTGTGAAAACATTATTCAGCTAGTCTAATGCAATCAAGACAATGGTGTTGATTCCAAGAATTTATTTTAACTTTCCAAATTTCTGCTGAAATATACGGAAGTGCTGACGTAACTGTATTTAGTTTTTGTTAAAGCCTTAAATCTAAGATATTTAGTTTAGCACAAAGTGAAAAGTAACAGCTTGTAACTTTATTTAACCCTCTACTATCAATTTGCACTTAATTTTCTTATTTAAACACTTGCTTTTACATTCGGAAGCTCTATGCCTTAACGCTACGTTTTACGTTGCCGGCGTTGAATTTCAATTCTTTACGCAGAAAAATAAATCACTTGTATAGCTAGTGATTTTCAGAAAGCTGTGAGATTTACTTATCTTTCTCTTCTTTCTCCATTAGTTTTGACAGGTCTGTGAGTATAGACTCTTTTTCTTACCCCTCACCCTTGTTAATCTTAGTTTTTTATCCAGATGACTGTTGCTAATTAACTCAGTCTGAACTTTTGGAGCACTGATTTGAGCATTTACTTCTAATTCTCTGCTACTCTCTAGTGTTTGATCATCGTGTTGTGTGTATTGGAAAGCAAATGTCCCTCTTCTTACTGAATTCAACTTTGAAAATGTCTTCAAGCCTGGCAAAGAAACGTCTATAATCCAGCATTGTAACCTGGGGGGGAATACAGTACGATTTGCATCGTCACATTGTGACGGATATCGTCTCTACTACTTCAAAAACAGCTAAGAGAACAGAGAATCGAATTCTCAGTTTGTTAATTACACAGTAGGCGATAAAATCCACTACAGATTATTTTGGAAAATGAAATTTATAAATAGTAATCATTTAATCTAGCATCAATGAATGATGGCAGGTAGCACTTATTGATTAATATCTGTAGTTGAATATTGCTGATAGCAATCAGTAGTGCTTGTTAGTCAAATTAAAGTTATCTCAACACCAGAC